TAATTTCTTCGAGGATGTTGGTTTCATTTTTAAATATTCCAATATACAAATAATCTGTTTCAGAATTCGTGGCTTCAATTGCTAAACAGATTATTCTTTCGACCGCGATTCCTCGCGTTTGCGAGATATTCGCGTTTGATACGTTTCTGTCTGATAAGCGATTACTCGGCTACCGCGCGTTCATAGGTAACCATAGATAGATACCGGGCTCCGAGGATCCCGTGTACACAGATTTCTCAGTTCGATCGTTAATGTACATCATTCGGATAAGGATCAACATCTCGTAAATATAAGCCGGCGGAGGCCCCGTAACTTATAGCTTATTAAACATGATTTACCACAAAGTGGGCACAATGTAAAATAAATAACGATAACGGCAAGCGGGATGAAGACACGAATGGTGACAAAAAGAATCGCCGGAGGAACGTTCCTGCCTGGCCAGGATCCGTCCGAAAAATCGACGCGTTTCCGGGTCCGTAAATGGCGTTCGTAGCCAGTGGTTCTTAACTTTTTTTACGACGAAGCAACGAATATTTGATACTTGACGACAGTTTTATTGATAAAAAATATGATACGTTCTTAAGAAATACATTAGCAAATGTACCAGCATGATGTTCGACACACTATGTTCGAAGGGTGAAAAACACACGCGGAGATTCTATTTGCTGGGCCGAACTCTAGATTGAACAACTCTAGATTATTTTAAATAATACGAGACAATGTTACTTACAGAAGTTTTGTGAGATTCAAGGAAGTAGACAATAAGGTATAAATGGTACTCTTGCGAGTGGAAGAGGTATCAAATTTATTTTTTTAAATGGAATGTCCAATATTTACTTGCGGAGAGCATCGAAAAATATTGTATATAATGATACGAAGCAACGAATTATTGCATCGAGTGTCACGATAGAGGCACAATATCAGAGACTGCAACGTTGCATCGCTGATGGCCGCCATATTGAACACGTTCTCTGAAAACAATCGAATATCTCAGGAACGGTACGTTTTAGGACAAATGTACTTTAGTACTTTTATGCTCAGAATACTCCACTCTGTCTAAATCGAGCATAAAATATTGGACATTTAAAAAAACAAAATTGACCTCTATGTATCTGATAAAAGTAACATAATTCGTGAGATAGACTGTATACTCGTGAAAATGAAATTGTGACCAGGTTGTATAGGTCGTAGGTCATTTGAAAGAACAAAGTTGACCTCTGTGTCTCTACTGAAAGTAACATTTTCTCGCATTGTTGAAAATAATCGAGATATCTAATGAACATAGTTCGTTAGATAGACTGTATACTCGTGAAAATGAAATTGTGACCAGGTTGTATAGGTCGTAGGTCATTTAAAAGAACAAAATTGACCTCTGTGTCTCTACTGAAAGTAACATTTTCTCGCATTGTTGAAGATAATCAAGATATCTAATGAACATAGCTCTTTAGATAGACTGTATACTCGTGAAAATGAAATTGTGACCAGGTTGTACAGGTCGTAGGACGTGCAGAACTTAATGTTTGCGTATAGAGATTCGAGGATCCGCAGAAATCTGAGTATGGAGACCGATTGTGGTCCGTTTTGAAGCGAGGTTAAGAACCACTGCGCTAATGCATCGGCGGCTACCTTCCGCGCGCTTGCACCGAGCGCAACAGGATGAGTGCGTGCCTAGGTTGCATATAAGCGGTGCATTGACAGACCGCGGCATATGACTCCCCATTGGAGAACGCTTAGAGAGCGCATAGCCCCGCTGCGTGGGAACTGGAGCACTCTGCATACGGAGAATGGTTCGCTGCGCCACGACTCTGCGTCTAAAGACGACGAAGACAACGACAAAGAGGAGGAGGATCTGGACGATGCGGTGCAGCACGAGGCACGAGATCCTCTCTATAAATCACAGCTCGAGCAGTTTCTCTCCGTGCAGGAGGTGGAACAATATCCTTTCCTAAGGTCTTTGCCTACCGTGCGCCTACCGTGCTCACGCGGTACCTGTACTACAATAGTACCCTAAAGGATCCGCGATGCGAGAGGAGCGGCTGATTAAATGCAAACAGAAAGAACGTACCAAACGCTCGTAGATTATGCGCCGCGGATTCGATTTCGATCGCCGACACCGATCTTACGAGTGCCCGGGAAACCCTTTATTTACGAATACCAAACAACGTTGTTGCGGAACTTTCGCGCCACTCGTTTCGAAATTATCGAATTTAACACGCGTACGAGTCAACCGTGCAAGTCGAGGAGTCGCTGTACTTCTTGCAAGATTTTGTTTGCGTAAAAGATATATCCGATTAAGTAGATTAATCGTTCCGTCGTGAAATGGCGTATCCCTGGGAAGCTTTTGCTTCATAATGGCTCGTAGATTTTCTATTGGATCAGGCATCAGGGCTAATGAAATTGCCATTCTAACAAGGAAACGTAAATTCACTGTTTTCACTCGTGGCAGAACCAATTGTTCTGGATCGTTATCCTCTCGAAGCATCTGTATATTAACGACCAAACCACTTCACTGTGGAAAGTAACAGATTTCTTTCGTATAATTTAATCATCCGTGTCGCGTATAAAATACTGATAAACACAGCTGGACGCGGGGATCGAAACAACCCCGAACGCGAACTTTTATCGAGCGTTTAACGGTTCGTTGAATCGATGCAATTTTACAAGAAAACGAACACTTCTTTCTGCATTGAAAACGTTTCTAGAGAAGGTAAATGACAACATATCTGATTTATGAAAAATTGATAGAGTAACTTGTCTTCAAATGAAATATCAAATTCGAAGGAAAATCGTTAAATTGGTAATCTCTAGTGGATTGGTGTGAACTATAAATTGTTAAAATTTTATTCCCGCTAGCGTGGGATTAGACCTCGTTTATAGATTGTCGGTGAAACCTTTCTAACTCATAAACCGTGATAAAATGTGTCAGTGTTTGTTCATAAATAAAATTAGTACGACCTTACGAGTGGTTCATTATGTAAGCGGTTAAGTTCATGTATCTTAACAAATAATAGGTGTATTGCAATGCTGACGGCATGCATCGCATTCGAGGTGCAATAAAATGTGAATAAATCGTTTCGAAAAAACCGTGCAACTCTGAAGGAATCGTGTTTCTGGCGACGCTTCCCCCATTTGTCAGCAGATGGATGCAACCTGTACCTCTCTCGCAAGTGCTCGACCGACCACCGAATGTCCATCACCCAAATTCCCTAATAGCCAGATTAGGGAACTACAAACTTGACAACATGCCTTTTGAGCCTCTCATCGAAAGACTTAGACTAACTACCCCACCAAAACAAACTAAGAAGTTTTATATATTATTAGAAAACTACATAATCTTGCCAACTCAAAGTAGAACAAAACGCTAACTCTCATTCTAAATACAGATCATAGTGATACAGAAAAAAAAGAAAAAAAACATTGAACGTCTGAGACAGGATTGACGTCTACTAGGATTGCTTTACTGGATGAGCCCCTCTAGCAAGCTCAGAATAAAAAACTCTAGTGTCTTTTACTGTTCTCTTGCTATCTCGCCTACTACTGTGCTCCCGCGAGAAGTTGGCTAGCGAAAGGGATGCAAGTCTGATTGGTGCCTAGATCCCCCCACTCTAGTTCAAAGCGAGGATAGGTGGAGGAAACGAAATACTCCCAACTTCTCGTAGATATACAATACTTCCTACAACAGCAACGCGTTAATGGAAATCGTACAAAAGGAGGTAGTTTCACACGGAGCACAAATTTTTCTTGCACGACGCAAAAAATTGGACGTTCTCCGCTTGCACCAATGGCGGAACGTTCGTTTCAGCCGCTGAACGCGCATTACTTTGGAGGACAGGGCTGCGTAGTTATCATTTCGTCGTTAATAACGCGACTCCATCGAGCGAATCGAATGGTGATGGACGCTGCTTGCGACGGCGTTCTTTTCCGCCTGTATCAGCTGCATTCGCGGCAAAAATACCCGTGGAAATAGCGGTTCCGGGAAGTCGCCGCGTATCGGGGCAGCCAGCCCCTGTTAATATCTAAGCACCTAAATCACAATGGCACGTCATACGCGCGGACCGCGTTAAATCACGATGCGTCTAGTAGCTCGTCCACGGATCTCTCGGCGATTCTGCCCGCTGGAGAGGGACAAGAACATTCCGGGTCCGGTTAGCCGCCATTCATCACGGACGGCGCATAGCCGCCGTTTAAAAAATGCGTATCGTACACGCGGACGGATCACGCTCGCGCACGCTCGTGAGATCTTTGACGCGGTTTCCGCGGTCATTAATAATGCTGCCCCGGGGCGGCGAGGCGCGCGAAAAAATAGCGCTGCCTTCGGGCGGGGGCGGGAGGGCGTGCGGGCAGAAAAGAGGATATATCGGGCCAGGAACGAAACCAGGAGCAGACAGTTCCGACGCGACGTGTGTGGAACTGTCTGTTGCACGGTGTTTAAACCGTTTACCCTGCACCGCCGATGCGCGGCGATAAGTGAGCCCCCCTATCCGATTCGACTCGCTAACGAGAACCGCGACGAGGATCCTCCGCGGGATCTCGACCGAACGCGCGCTAAATTCTTATCTGGATCCGCAAATTATCGATGGACTAATCGATCAGTCGAGTGCACATTTTTATTTCGACACCTGCCGATGTTTAGGGTCAGCTGCCCTGATATGGAATACGTTCCTAATTTGGAGCACCGCAATATTAAAGCAATTATCGCAATATTGCGATTGGCGATGAATGCAATCGATTACGACTGTCATTTGTTGCAACTAGCGTGCATATGTATCTTTCACCTAATATTATGTGTAATGGGATAAGTACATCAGCTTTGTGTAAGCTTGATTATTTTTTCAAATATAAATGTAAATATAGTATTCCATATTACGAGCACTATGAGCCTAATATAGAAAATGTGGACCTCAGTAAAAAAATTGACTGTTACCGGTCAAAAAAACATAAAATTTTCTATAAATTCATAATATTTAAGTTTTTATAGAAATTCTGCAAGCAAGTGAAACATGTGTATAAAAAAATGTATTCCATATTAGGACAACTGACCCTATCCACCCCAGTTGGGAGGGACAGAAACGTTCAAATTACGAATCACGACTAATTTGGTAGTTGATCTGAAGCATCAATTTGTTTATCACTAACAAATAAATTGTCACAAAAGGCAGCGAACGCGTTAAGAATCATTCTTCATAACGTAGCCGCAGAATTTGTTGGAGTATTTCGAGCCGTCACGAAATATCACGTTCTCGAATTCTTCAACGCGAGCACCTGGTCCTCCAACGCGGACACTTTTTCCGACAATCTTCGAACCTGCTCGTTCAGTCCACCGACGTCGTATGGCAACGTATCGGAGGATCCCGCCATTCGATCGACGCATTTATTCAAGATCGCGTCCACTTTATCGGCCCCCGGCTCGTGAGCCAGGCATTCCTCGATCAGTAAATCACCGATGCTCCAGTCCTTGATGAAACGGATGTGATTACTGCCTAGGTACCAGGTCATCGATGCACGACATCGATAAGACCACGGGTTCCCGGCGATCAAGATTTTCCGGAGTTTCTTCAGCTTCTTCAGCATGTCCGGCGACAAGCACGCGCGCAGGTCATTATGGGCGATGTCCCAAACTTGTAGCTCGGGCAGCAGCTCGTAAATTTCAGAATCTATATCGACGACGCGATTCCGCCACAGGATTAACGCCCTCAGGTTCGATAATCCTCTAATCCACGCGGCATCGATCCTGCGGATCTTATTGTTGACCAAACCAAGCACTTGCAATTTATCGAGCCCCCTGAACGCGTCCGGTTCGATTTCTTCCACGCCGCATCCGGTTATGTTCAGCTCGATCAACGAATTAGAGTATTGCGCGAAAGAATCCGTCTTTATTCTGCTGATGTTCGAATTTACGATGTTGATCACTGCTGCTCCTGCTGGTATCTGCAACTGTTTAAGATTTTAAATATTAGACTATGTTGGATCAGACACACAGTTTTTGTTTAACACTAGATTTACGGGCATTGATCGCACGTATATTTATTGATACCTTTCATGTTGACGATTACCTTACAATACGATTTTTCTTTTAATTGGAATATGCATTCATGCCAGTGCAACAATCAAATTCAACAATTCATTGCAATTTTAAATATGGAATCAGACACCCGTCAAATTGACGGTTTCCGTAAATCTAGTGTTAAGAACTGTACAATTGCCATGTTTGCAATCACCAATTAATTATCGCGTGAACTGCTTATTTTCCAGGTATGTATTCATATTTTTACATGCAGAATAACCAAAAGAATTGATCGAAACGTATTGCGCCGTTTAAGTTTGCATATTTGTAACGTCGATCTGACACGAAAACGAAGAATAAAAAGACCGTCGACAACGCTCTGACAGCCACTTGAAATTACCGCATGATTTCATAGTGGATGTTCGAAGTGACCTCCATCGGATGTCACACAGTCGTTGATACGCCGTATCACGGACTGTCGCATGCGTTCGAACACTTCTGCTTGATTTCTATCTGAATTGCATGCATTGATTACGCTGCGTGTTATTGATTGCTCGCGTTGCGTGAGAGAAGGTCAAATAAGATTGCCGATACGGTTTCTCGGTATTAGTTATAATAGTTCTAGCATTCGCATCAAAATTGCTCGCCGTGGTTCGTTATGGATTAACGTATGCAATTCCGAAACGAAGAGTTTATTGACCCACTTTCGGACCTTTTTCTCAGTTTTGCTTTCACAACTATTTTAAATTATTTACTTCCAAGGATTTCACAAATTTAACCTTTCTATGAATCCTTTAGAGAAAAATTATTTTAAGCACTTGTATTCAATTTATTAGCTATTATATCACCTCAATTTTTATTTATTAAACTAATGTGTTAAGTACGAAAAAAAATTGGCTTATTAATATGGAATATTATGTAATTTATTTACATGTATATTCGGTGATTCTAGTTTGAAAAATCCTAATCTTCAGCGAAAAGATACGTAAATAGAAAACAATTTCTCACGTTTAACTGATTCAATCCCTCGCACTGGTACCAATCTTCTCGACCATTTAATCCCGGACTGCAGGTCGCGATGCAAGAAACCACGATCGTCGCAAGGACTACGGATCCGAGCAAGACTTTCATCATGCGGAAAATTTTTGGAGCAAACTATGCTTCCTCGACGCACGATTCGTCTTTTATACCGGTTCGTACCGACGACAGTCGAAGCTCTGGTCAAGGAAAATGCAAACCGGGGAAGTACTGACAATTGCAAACGTGAATATATCTGACAGGCCATATTGTGCGAATGACGACGCAACGTATACTAAATAACACCAGTGTTTCTCAAATGGGAGTCTTATAAACATATTATAGCAGTTTATAAAGAGGTTTGGATCTCATAAAATGTGAATAACCTTTCGAATTTTACATTATTGTTGAATCGTCGATAATTGAGACTTCTATTTTATTGAGAAAGATTTTCCTTGGGAGTCCCAAGGATGGCCATTTTCGATCGTCGTCCTTTCCCGGCGATCGCCTTGTTTGGAGGGACCGTCGATTATTGAAAGCACGCACGCGACATCTCGAACGTTTCAATGGCCAGTCGATTGTGAGAACGAAAGGGACTCTGATTGAATAATTAGGATTCCGGATTCGTTCCTTGCAGCCACTCGTGTCACCGATGTTAATGCCGCGTTGAGTCGGAACCGGTTTCGTCGCTCGAGAGACACAAAATTGATCGCAATGCCTGCAATTTGACGCCTCGTGAAACTCCCACTTTAACTTCCACGGAAACCCCTTCTGCCGCGTATTAAAACGTTCGGGATAATAACTGTATGATTTCACGCTAATGGCAGTCGGCACACTGTCTTGCGCTGGCTTTGCTAGTAATTTGAGGACTCGCGTTTGTCACGTTTCCGAGCTACTCATTACCGTTTGCCTTTTATTGACGCTTTATTATATGTCAAATCCATTTCGACGCTTTCACGATCGATGCACATTTTAGAATCTTCCCTTTTACGTATACGATATAATAAAATAATTATTATTTATTTTCTTTCCTCCAGAAGAAAAGGAAATATTAACCCCTTGACGTACGATTTAACTTCAACTAATTTTTAATTTTGTTTAAATTTGATCACGAACAAGATTTACGAATACCTTGTAAATGTAAAAATGTGTTGATTTTAATAGATAAGACTCGATGATGAACAAGTAGCCTCATGATTGCGAAACATGTTATCAAGAACTTGTAATGCACTTGTAAAGAGCGAGTTTGCATTGTTTAAAATAAACGTTGCAACTTCTGGCAACGTCACAGAACGCGACAAAGCCCCGAAGGCTGCTATTATAAGAAAAGGGGTGAAAGAACGATTCGACGTTTAATTATTCGGCCGCGTGGGGTGGAAGGCTATGTTTAGAATTTCGAAGCGTAATTGTCGAAAAGTTCGAGAGGTAATTCCACGTCTGCCGGCGTCCGAATTCCCATCGCGTTTTGAAATATCGAATGATGCTCCTTCGTGATAACACCTACGTGTTTTACAGGCATTAAGCCCCACGCAAACTGTGCCCCGGCACATAATAATAAAGCGCGTTACTTCGATCGTACTGTAATCACCCGAATAAAGCCACCTGACGATGCCGCGGCGTGGGTGCATTTGTCACTCTCGTGCGGGGCGAATAAAGTGTTTGCATACTCCTATAAAACGATGGAATACGACGATAACGGGCCTGTGTACGATAAAGCCACCGCGTATCTGGCCCGTACATCGCGATAAGGAGAGACTGCAAACCGATCCAAAATGGCGTAAAAGTGCGTTAACCGTAAGTTAACATCTGCTCAGACATTCTATTGCCACACCAAACGCGACGTCGATGCTTACAACTTTCGCGAACGCCCCAAACTTCATCGGACTTATATTTTAGTTGAAAAATAGTCTCGATGCGCGGTAATTCCGTTTCTAAGCATGTGAAATGTTGGGACTCGCTCTGGAGCTTTTTTATATGGACTGAATAGCTTCGAATAAAATGAAGTAAATTGAAAACGGTATAGCAAACTCGAAGATAAAATAAAGATTTAAATTTCTTTTTTTGACGTTTCGTCCAGCGATGTGGTAAATAAATTCAGTTCGAATTTTCGCGTAAATAAATATCTTCGAGGGTCGTTCGCGTGAAACCGTTTAGGTTTGCAATTAGTCAAGATTCGAGCACGCGTATCATGCCCGTTATCCTTTATCGGTGTCAGCGATAAAGGGTAACTTACGATGTGACCGGCACCTGGCTGTCTCTGTCACCGTTTACAATGAAATTCCCCGTGTATATATTTAAGCTTTTAACATATGTACGTACATTCGAAACGTGTTATACACGCACGGCCGAGTGTATGAGAGGTCTGCATATATGCATAAGCGCGGTGCACGTGGAGCACCGGCAAATCGTAATGCTGTAATAATGGATGCACTACCAGCAACAGTTGTCCAGCAGTGCGAGGGGACGCGAACAGAGATATGGAGATCGAACGGGACGCGGTAGACGGAGAAAGAGGAACTGAATAAGTGGCATGAGCTTGTTCCATGCGTGTTTCGCGCGTACGAACGACGACTTTACCATCTAAATGCTTATTTTAAGAATCATCGATAAATTTCACTTCGCGCCGATGTTCCTTTTTCGAACAATTCGATGAACACTGGACCATCTACGTAACTGATTTTCTACTGTAGACGATCGAGTTGTGAGTCTATAAACATCTACTGTTTGGGAATTTTGAACATTGAACTCCACTTTACAAATATTCTCAACAATAATTTTAAGAACTCTTTTCGAACGAAATCCATCGAACTGCATCGAAAGATTAAAATTGAAGTAAATAAAGAAACGAAGAAAATAATAATTCGATGATTATTTGTGTTGGTCGCCTCGGGAAATTCCTCGCTGATAATAGCTAGAATTTCGAACACCTGAACTCCACTTTGCAAATATTTTCAACAATAATTTTAAGAACTCTTTTCGAACGAAATCCATCGAACTGCATCGAAAGATTAAAATTGAAGTAAATAAAGAAACGAAGAAAATAATAATTCGATGATTATTTGTGTTGGTCGCCTCGGGAAATTCCTCGCTGATAATAGCTAGAATTTCGAACACCTGAACTCCACTTTGCAAATATTTTCAACAATAATTTTAAGAACTCTTTTCGAACGAAATCCATCGAACTGCATCGAAAGATTAAAATTGAAGTAAATAAAGAAACGAAGAAAATAATAATTCGATGATTATTTGTGTTGGTCGCCTCGGGAAATTCCTCGCTGATAATAGCTAGAATTTCGAACACCTGAACTCCACTTTGCAAATATTTTCAACAATAATTTTAAGAACTCTTTTCGAACGAAATCCATCGAACTGCATCGAAAGATTAAAATTGAAGTAAATATAGAAACGAAGAAAATAATAATTCGATGATTATTTGTGTTGGTCGCCTCGGGAAATTCCTCGCTGATAATAGCTAGAATTTCGAACACCTGAACTCCACTTTGCAAATATTTTCAACAATAATTTTAAGAACTCTTTTCGAACGAAATCCATCGAACTGCATCGAAAGATTAAAATTGAAGTAAATATAGAAACGAAGAAAATAATAATTCGATGATTATTTGTGTTGGTCGCCTCGGGAAATTCCTCGCTGATAATAGCTAGAATTTCGAACAGCTGAACTCCACTTTGCAAATATTTTCAACAATAATTTTAAGAATTCTTTTCGAACGAAATCCATCGAACTGCATCGAAAGATTAAAATTGAAGTAAATATAGAAACGAAGAAAATAATAATTCGATGATTATTTGTGTTGATCGCCTCGGGAAATTCCTCGCTGATAATAGCTAGAATTTCGAACACCTGAACTCCACTTTGCAAATATTTTCAACAATAATTTTAAGAACTCTTTTCGAACGAAATCCATCGAACTGCATCGAAAGATTAAAATTGAAGTAAATAAAGAAACGAAGAAAATAATAATTCGATGATTATTTGTGTTGGTCGCCTCGGGAAATTCCTCGCTGATAATAGCTAGAATTTCGAACACCTGAACTCCACTTTGCAAATATTTTCAACAATAATTTTAAGAACACTTTTCGAACGAAATCCATCGAACTGCATCGAAAGATTAAAATTGAAGTAAATATAGAAACGAAGAAAATAATAATTCGATGATTATTTGTGTTGGTCGCCTCGGGAAATTCCTCGCTGATAATAGCTAGAATTTCGAACACCTGAACTCCACATTACAAATATTTTCAATAATAATTTTGAGAACTCTTTTCGAACGAAATCCATCGAACTGCATCGAAAGATTAAAATTGAAGTAAATATAGAAACGAAGAAATTAATAATTCGATGATTATTTGTGTTGGTCGCCTCGGGAAATTCCTCGCTGATAATAGCTAGAATTTCGAACACCTGAACTCCACTTTGCAAATATTTTCAACAATAATTTTAAGAATTCTTTTCGAACGAAATCCATCGAACTGCATCGAAAGATTAAAATTGAAGTAAATATAGAAACGAAGAAAATAATAATTCGATGATTATTTGTGTTGGTCGCCTCGGGAAATTCCTCGCTGATAATAGCTAGAATTTCGAACACCTGAACTCCACTTTGCAAATATTTTCAACAATAATTTTAAGAACTCTTTTCGAACGAAATCCATCGAACTGCATCGAAAGATTAAAATTGAAGTAAATATAGAAACGAAGAAAATAATAATTCGATGATTATTTGTGTTGGTCGCCTCGGGAAATTCCTCTCTGATAATAGCTAAGCGTGGAAACAACACGTGTGAATATTTATAAATCCCGATATGGTTGCGTCACCGATAAAGCAGCCTTAAAAACGGAGAGTAAAAATTGCATTACGTATAAACAGCTCGTATTTCGCCGGCATACTAACAAGTCACCCGGCCCGGTATCGCGGTTTTTAACAACGAAAATAGGTGGACCAGTATGTACACCCCATATAATGATAAGAGTTATAAATCAAATTATGAATTTGATTGTGAAACGTGTCGCGTGGCTAAGGTAAATACATTAGTCGGTTTCGTGATCCGAGAAATCTTGGGTCCCGAGCCCTGACAGCATTAAAGAATCCATTAAGAGGTACGGAACCCCGCGTTTATCAATGTACATCTAATATAAAAGCAAATAAACACTTGTAATTTA